GAAGCTGAAAATTCACTATTCTACTTTCAAGTGCGAGCTTCATTCTGTTTGGGAGTGAAATTCCATGTAGGTGGGCGTGAGAAATGCTCAGTTTTATCGAAAAACCAGCGAGTGCGTTTTGCAACGGACGACCGCCCTCATCTAAATATGTAAATGAACATTCAGTTCATTTGCATACTTGGGTTTTTTGACGAACGACCGCTCAAGCAACATTTTCACTTTTTAGTAAACTGAAAATTTGCATTTTTTCAAAAAATTTGCATTTTTCATTTTTTCAAAAAGCAAGCATTTACCGGAAAAACCACCGAGCTTCATGCAAAAAACTGATGATCGTGTATCTGGAGATTCGTGCGGCTTTGTAATGCACCATCTTTATCCCAACCGAAACCCTTCCTCCTGCACGCTGGGAGGGGCCAAAGCAGGGCGCCTGTATGTCCCCATGTGTTAGGTTACAGCGCACGGGTCATTCCTGCTATTAGTGGCCTGTGAGTTTAGTGCAAAAACGCATGGTTGCACCTGGCGCATTCCAGCCTGTGTTCAGGATATCTGAGTTTGAGCTGATCAAAATAATGGCGATGACATAGGCATAATTACTACTTGGCCAGTTCCTTCGATAAACATTATGCTGAATTAAAAAATCTAATCGCGTCAGCTGATTGGAATAGCTTAATTAAAAGCAAAAGCCTTACTACTTACTAAGGCCATTATTATTATCAGAAAGTCACATTTGTCATGAATATTTAAAGAAAGCACTATTTTGCAGGTATCCAGGAAAATGCGAAAGCGTTGCAGCACGGGAAGAAATATTTGGAAGCAGCGAACAAATCAGGAAGTGTTCATATTATACAGCTTGCATACCACGTGCTGGGCTGGCTGCATCTACAAATATCTCTCAATTCGGACGTAAAAAAGGAAACGTTTCTTGAAAAGGTATTTTTAAAGTTGGAAGCAAATGCTGGGTTTGTCAATAGGAAGTTGACAGTTAGGTCATGCGTTTTTGATCATAACAATTCTGAGAATGTTATCAACTGCACTGATGCCAATAAAAAATCCTGGTAGTTGTACGCACTCTTAGTTGCTGGTTAAAATTAATAAAACGTTTGTTGTTTTTCTGATAAAATTTGAATCTCAGTCCTTCTAGCTGAGTTAAATGAATCTAGATAATTCGAGTAGTTTTCTGAATTTTGTAAAAAAGTAAGGAATAAAATGAAGGAAGTGAAAGGCAGTTAAAAGGCGCAAAAGTAGATGTAATTTTCGTTTACAGGGAAAGCAGTGGTGTGAACGAAGTCTTGCATATTTATCGAAGCATGCCGCAGACATCGATTGTGACAATGCGTTCGTTATTACGAGCTTTCTTCTTTTTTTTTCAGTTGGTTCTCCATAACATGAAACACTTCAGACTAATACCCTTACAATCTTAGTACTTCACTTGCTGCGCCAGTTATATGGAGAAGACGTTGCCGATAAGCTGTATTTATAACTGGCAGCTCAGAAATATCAACCTGAGCTCTAAGTTATTTCCCGCAATATTTGTGTTTCCAAAAATGATCCGGAAATTTATTTATAGTTTTAGTTTGGTCTTAGTAACATCTGTAAGCCGAACCACCAGCGATTCTTAGGTTTTTTCATAATTTTAATTGCCCTAGTTTCCTGCCATAAACGAAGCTACAAAGTTGTAGTCAGTTCTCTGTCCTCCTATTTATTGACTGCAACTGTAACGGAACCGCTAATATTATTTAAATAAAAATCGAATATGAATGACTGGCTGGTTGTTAGTTCAGGGCGGTGCAAATGGGGCAAGATTCACGCTCGCGGAAGGCCCG